TGTTCAAGCAAGCCGTCTACGTGCAAGCTTGGCATGACTTTGGCCTGCATGTGCCCTTGGAGGCGTCGAGCGTGCCTTGCGACATGCTGCCACCACCTGCAGTCATACAGCCCGGGCGACCGCGGGAGAACAGACTGGAGCGACAACCCACGCAACCCGCACGCGTAATCGCAGGGGCAGGGGTCGAGGCAGGGGTAGAGGCAGGGGACGTGGTGAAGGTGGTGGTCGGGGTGGTCGACGAGGTGGAGGGAGAGCGAGTGTACGGGGGATAGCGCGCGGCAGAGGCGGTGCACCTACGGCAGATGCAACCGCGCCGCCATTATCACAACCACCACAGCCACCACAACCGGTCTTCGTGAACGCGGCACCACTCATACAACCCCTACTCGGGGCGCATCAGGCCCATTCCCACCAGCACTGCCTGCACCTGTACACGGGCCAGCAGCGCCACCGCCTCTGATGCATGCCATGATGCCGAGCTTGTCAACGACACCGGTCATCACAAGCATATTGACGCCGCTGCAACTACCAATGACTGGAGCGGGATGGCAGACGTCAATGGCAGCATTGTCTGCAGCAACGGCAACAACGGCAGCAACAACGGCAACAGCTGTGATGGCAGTTGAAGCAGCTGCAGCAGTAGGGCTTGTACCCGCGCACATGACGACGATGGGAGCCGGGACGTCGCCACCTTCCTTCCCCAACACGGCGCCGCCGTCACCCATGTCTTTGACGCGTACAGCGACAGCGCCACGGCCATTCTCACACACATCAGTGGCAGCCTTTCCGTCACCGACTCCCTTGCTGGCATCACCATCATCATCAGCATCGTCGTCGTCATCCTCATCATTCGCGCCGTCTCAACAGCAGCGGCCGCAGCAGCAACAGCAGCACAATCGGCAAACACTGCTGCACCACCAGTATCACTCTCAGTGTATGCAGCGCTTGCAGACAGGCAGCTTGGGACGGACGAGATTCACATGCTCGGCTGTCGGTAAGCGACTGCTATGCACATCACTATCAGTGTTTCAGTGTGCTGTGGTTGTGGAGTTCAGCGCATGCTCGATGACATGACGTCCTATCTGCTCACTCACCTCTGTGTATGCGTGCGTGTGTGCGTGTGTGCGCGTATGTGTGCGTGTGTGTGTGCGCGTATGTGTGTGTGCGTGTGTGTGTGTGCGCGTATGTGTGCGTGTGTGTGCGCGCGTATGTGTGTGTGCGTGTGTGTGTGCGTGCGTGTCTTTGGCTGTGGCATCGAGGATTGGGCGGGCTTTTGAATCCAAGCGCGCTTCAGGGCAGCGACGATGATGCTCGCAACCACCGCCGGTTCAAAGTAGCAGACAGAAGGCTCTTCTCTGCCCAGGTGTGTGCATATCTGCGTGTATGCAAATGTGTATGCAGGGATGTGCGTGTGTGTAGGTAGTTGTGTACATGAGTGCGTGCGCGCGTGCGTGCGTGTGTCTGTGTGTCTGTGTGTCTCTGTGTGTGTGTATGTGCGTGCGTGTGTGTGAATCGCCGCGCATGTGTACGCATGCAGTTCGCCTTCTTCACTCCCCGCCTCCCCCCTCACGTCCTCACGTCCTCTCCCGCGACGCACGCGCCTTCACTTGCATACAGATACAGCGCATTCCTTTCCTGCGCCATACGACGGCGCGGTGCACGTGGCAGACTCATCAACGCAGTCTTCCACAGGGGTCAGACAGCGAGCAACCGAACAGGAACAGGATTTACTGGCCCGCAATGGCAGCACCTCATCACCTGCAACGTCACGCAAGACACCACCCCGCAGTTCAGCGCGCAGCTGTTCCCCGAGCCGCCAGACATCATCATTGCCTACGACGAGCGTGCCGTCTTCCTGTGCCTCTCTGGGTTTCGCAGCTCCGCCAGCGAGGACGGGCCGGCGCTGGTCTTTCGCACCTGCACCGCCAGCGGCAGGCTCGGTGCGCCATCGGCAACCTGCGTGGACACTGACGAGTGCGCGTCGGTGGCGCAGGCCCGTCGCGCCCTCAGCAGCCTGCAGCAGTGCATCAACACCA